GGTTAGCAGTGCTGACTGGAAACTAAAAGTCCGGTTATAAGAGTAACCACATTACCCTCCGCTCCTCCCACTCCCAACACCCACCCAAGAGGGCTGGAAGAGAACCTGTCCTGCTGCTGCTGGATGTCACGGAGGGTGGGGGAGTCAGGGTCCTGCACCCCCCACTTCCTGTGATTCACCGTGACTCTCAGCCAGCCAGTAAAACAGAAGGTTTATTAGACAACAGGAACACAGTCAAAGCAGAGCTTGTAGGTATGGAAAACAGGACCCCTCAGTCAGGTCCGTCCTGTGGGGAAGGAAGTCCAGACACCAGTGTTGGGCCTCCCTCTATTTCCCAGCCAGCTCCAAACTGCAACCCCCTCCAGCCCCTCCTCTGTCCTTTGTCTCTTTCCCCAGGCCAGGAGGCCACCTGATCTCTTTGTTCTCCAACACCTTGAGTTGGCACCTTGCAGGGGAGGGGCCCAGGCCATCAGTTGCCAGGAGACTGTGTGTCAGCCATTCTCTGTGCAGACAGCATCACACCTGCCCTCTAGGACTCAGCATCAATCACACAGCCTTATCCCACCACCTAGCTTGGGGTAGGCAACCTATGGCATGCGTGCCAAAGGCAGTACGTGAGCTGATTTTCAGTGGCACTCACACTCCCCGGGTCCTGGCCACCAGTCTGGGGGAGGTGGGGGTTCTACATTTTAATTTAATTTTAAATGAAGCTTCTGTATCGAGGCGGTCTGGCTCCCCGCCGCCCCGGAGGGGAACGAGCCTCTCTGGACACCAAAGTGGGCGGAGCCAGCAAACCCTGCCCCTGCCCCTCAGAGGTCAGGGTGCAGGACAGGAAGTATAAAAGCCAGACCCCAGAGCTCACTTGGCTCTTAGCCACCGGAGCGACCAGACACTTGTGGCATAGCTCCCAGTGGGGAGATGACGGCGATTGGTGGCCGACCCGAGGACTGGCCAGACCAGGCAACGCCTGATGCTAGCCCGAGCCCAGAGACGCTGCCAAGCCTACCGCTCGCCCATTACCCCGAGGAACTGCCAGGGCTACTGCTCGCCAGCTATCCTGAGGAGCCCATGGTGTGTGACCCCGTGGAGGATGCCGTCTGGACCCAGGTACCTCTAGAGGGGGAGATAGGAAGTAGCCCGGGGGCAGCCGATCCGAGTCTGGCTGCAACACTGCCAGAGCCCATGTCAGTGTGTTGCGGTCAGGATCTCCACTGACACAGCAGCGGGTCTTCTGCCACTGCTAGGGCCCCGGGCTGGAATGCAGTGGAGTGTGGGCCTGCGTCCCCCCGCCACCCACCTCGCGGGTGACAGTCTCCCTCTCTCCCTGGCTGCTCAGAGCCAGGAGCCTGGAGGTTTGCCGTTGAACCTGTTTGCTTAGCCCCTGCCTGAGGGCCGGAGCTGCTGACTGTTTGCCACACAGCCAAGCTAACTCCTTGACACAGTTGACCAAAGTAGCAAGGTGGTCTGGCTTCCAGTGAGTGGAAAGAGACTGGGCATGTATGTTGAAAGATAGGTAGCTATCCAGGCACTGCACAGACTCCATCCAAGATTGGGGCTCCTGTTGTGCCCATAAACGCACAGTAAGACAGGTTCATCCTGAAGATCTGACCGTCTAAATCAGAGGTACCCAAAATGTGGGGGAATGTTCAGAGGGCACGGCGGGGCCTGGGCGAGCTCCCAGGGACTCGCTGGTCTAAACGGATGATGAGTGGGGGGTCAACAGCTGAGTTGGGATTAGAACTCAGTCTCTTGAGTCCCCACCCAGAGCATCAACCACTAGCCTATGGGGCTCTTCAGTGGTGTACTACCCTTGTATTGTTCCTCTAGTGAAGTTCAGCCCTGGTGAATAATGTCAGAGCCTCGTTTCAGTATTCAAGCTGGCTGGAAAATCACTTATGCGTGTTCTGCCTCGCTGCTTCATTAGTATTTCTCCCTCTACCCCCATTTCATCAAAGGTCCCGAATGAAGAGGGGTGAAGACCCCAAAGAGAAGATTCTCCTTCAGAACCAAGAGAAAGTTCTGCTCAAACAGACTTGCTGATGGCACTCGGACTTAGATGCCTTCTGGATCCAATAGGGGGGTGGCAGCAGCTCAGTTTCAAATATTCCTCCATCCAATTACACATACTCTCACAGTTAACACCTTGTCCCTTAAGACCCACACACAGGGTGGGTTTTTGCACACAAGCATTCAGGGGGAAGGGAGTTAAATCTGCACTGCAGCTTGGGGCAAGGGTTGCAATAGAGAAACCTACTGGGAAAGGAAT